CTCAGGTCCCTTCCGACCCTACAAACTATGAAACTATCCTACACCAGCTGTGACCTGCGAAACCTGTGTGAATGTCCTAGTGTTTGACATGGGTGCTTAAACCCAGCCTGTGGACCAAATCCAGCCCATGGAGCCATGGCATCCAGCTCACCAGGTTTCCTTAGTCAGAAATTTAGCAGAAGGGAGGAGTGGCAATTAATGTTGTTACCCCTTCCCCCACCACTAAATTTCCAAGCCCCAGACTGCCCCTCTCCTGCACTGCTGGATCTGGGCTGGGCTTTCCCTGCCTGCCCTCTACACTAGATTGGACTCATTGGCTGGATCCAGCCTGCAGGAGGACTGGGTACCTCTGGGCAACAAGATTGAGCACTGCTGATCTAGCACCATGCTAGATGTCCCTGTCTGAGGTTGGTGTGGCTCCCACTCTGAGCTCAGTCAGTCTTTTCTACAACTAGGCCAAAGAGCTACTGAGCTTTCTGAGCTCACTACCATGTGAGCATGGGCTCTGACTGGAGCCACTGCTTTTGCACATCTCCAGTGGGTGAATATTGCTACTGCTCATCCTCCTTTTTATCACCGCCACTGAATTTAGTGACTGACTGCCAAGCTTGGAGAGTTTACTGTGCATGCTAAGTTCCAGCAGTGTTTTTCTATGTGGCCCTTAATTCTTTTCTGATTTTCGGGGTTTGACCCACTTGTAAAGAGGGTTGAATACCCCTGCACTACATCTGTGCTGACCCACACATACACATGCTACATTAAGTTGTAGAATCTCCTGGTCTAAAGGTAGATTTCTCTCAGTCCAAAACATCCAATAGCATCTGAGCTGGCGGTAGGCAACCCCCAGCACAAGTTCCAGAGCAAGTGCCAGGGCGCACAAAGGTATTTTGCTTGGCACATGCACCTTGGGGTGAACAGCAGGGAAGGGACTGGGGCTGTGCCGCCACAACAGGGATTGGGCCCCTCGTAGCTACCCCACCATCCACCCCTGGCACACCAACATCTTACAAGTTGAGGTTGTGGATATTTTTGGCACTCTGCCCAAAAATGTTGCCGACCCCTGACCCCACCTGTGTCTAAAGAATCTGCAAAATCTCATTCATCAGCCATATTCATTATGTACCAACAAATGCCATTTACAGACAGTATTATATAATACTTAAATGCTTGAAATGCTCCTAATATCTCCTTTCTCTCTTGCAGCTTTGACTTTATCTTCTGACCTTCTGGATCTTCTGTTCTTTTACATCAGGTTCAAGCTTGTTCCCTGACCTTCAAAGTTTGACAAAGCTCCACTTGGACCTTGATTTCTTTCCTTATCTCATCTGAACCCACTTGCAAGAAGTGATGTTACTGTGCTTGGTTCAAGGTAGGCAGCCTCCCGGTCTACAACTTGATCTAATGGTATGCAAGTCTTGAGACAGAGTTAGTTTGGGATGAGGACTATCATAGAGCTTGTTTTAATGCCCCATGGAATCTTTAGCTGTTCTGACAGAGTGTTTCTCACCAGGGGCATTGCAGTTAGCATGTCTGAAAGTTGTGGGCAGCTAAGCTTTAATATCTTTGTGGATGGTGATTCTTTTGGATTAGTCCAGGATCTCACAGCTACCATAACAAGCAAGGTGTTAACAGGAGTGTACAATGACTCAGTGCCCTGGGCCTTGAATGTCACTGAGGGAGGAAACATTAGCTATGGTATCTTTTTCATGTCTTTTGATATACTTGTCTCATGAAGATGGAAGACTTGAGAAATCATGCTATGAAGTCATCTGGTCTTATCAGCTAAGACCAGATGGGTTCATAGCAGGCAGATCCTGCCTGATTAACCTGGCTTCTTTTTATGCCTGGGTCACAAAATGCTTGGATGAAGAAATAGAGGTAGTGCCATGTGTTGCACCTGGGGAGAAAGAATCATCAACACTCCTATAGCCTGGGAGGTACCATACTGAGTAGCACAACAGCGGAGCAGGAGCTCGGAGTCATAGTCAACTCCAAGATGAACATGAGTTGCCAATGTGATGAAGTAAATAAGTAAAGCTAACTGCACTCTTTCTTGCATAAGTAGGTGCATCATGAACAGGTCTAGGGAGGTGATACTTCCCCTCTATGTGGCATTGGTTAGGCCGTAGCTGGAGTACTGCGTCCAGTTTTGGGTGCCGCACTTCAGGAGGGATGTGGATAACCTGGAAAGGGTTCAGAGGAGGGCCACCCATCTGGGTAAAGGCCTACAGGAAAACCCTACGAGGACTGATTTGAAGGACTTGAATCTCTTTAGCCTCTGCAGGAGAAGTCTGAGAGGTGATCTTGTGGCTGTCTATAAACTTGTCAGGGAGGTGGAGGGGGTGGGAGGAGAGGGGGACAGCAGGAAATAGGGGATATGATGTTTACCAGGGCACCCATCAGGGTAACTACAAGCAATGGCCACAAACTGAAGGAGAGCAAATTTAGATTGGACATCAGGAAAAAATTATTTACAATGAGGGTTGCCAAAATATCGAATATGCTTCCAAGGGAGGTGGTGCTATCCCCTTCCTTGGAGGTATTTAAGAGGAGATTGGACAAACACCTGGCTGGGGTCATCAGACCCCAGCACTCTTTCCTGCCCAGGGCAGGGGCTGGACTCGATGATCTAATAAGTCCCTTCTGACCCTGAAATCTATGACTTTGAAGGAGAATATACTGTCCTATCAGATGATCTGTATGGTGATCAGTGGGATGCACAGTATTACAGTCTTCTGGCCATGATATTCACATCCTACATTCCCTCTTCCCAGTCTTTGTCCTCATGAATCAGCTTGGGGTATGTGTGGCCTGTGATGCAGTAAGTGGGAACAAGATGACTTAATCCTTCCCTGGCAACTGAAATCACAGCAGGAGCTTCAGCTGATGGCACCTGGAACCCCTGGATCCTGGGTTAAATGTGAGGGGCTGGAAGAAAGCATTTAGGAGAGAGGGCCTTAGCTCTGGACTTTGCTTCTCCTATCAGTCTAGCAGTGCCTGAGTTTGTCCCCTCCAGGAAACAGAGCAAGGTCTATCTTTTTCCTTGTGCTTTTTCTGCTATAGCTCTAACTGTATGGGCTAAGACAGGAGATTCTGTAGTCCTTTTTGCTGGGAGGGATTTTATTGATGCACTGGGGATGTCTTTGGTATGCACTGATTGATTTTCCCCTAGGGCAATGGATAGTTGCATTGAAATAAGCTGAAAATAATACATGGAGACTGTAATCTTTTTAGGGCATGGACTATTATTTGTTCAGCACATTTTATCTATTATAAAATGCCGTGTCCATCCATGGTGCTGTATAAATAACTGCAGTCTGTGAAGGCTACTTGTAAGCATCCTCAGCTGGAACACAGCCCATACATTATCTCCAAGTTACAAATACACTTTAGAACTCTTCATAGGATTTTTTTCCACTGGGTCCCATGACCCTTTCTTCCCCAGGCTCTGGGGTAGCTGCTTGGTAAGGAATGGTGCCTGACCAGAATGTTACCCTTATCACATCAACCTGAAAGAAATCTGATTTATAAGTAACCATTTGCCCTCCACATTGTAAACCTCACCTGGGGGGGGGGGGGGGGGGGGGGAAAGGGCCTTTTGGGGCCAAGGGATGGGGGTT